TTAACTTCACAACTTTATCTATAACTTGATTTGATATTAAATTAATAAAATATTAAATTTTATATATAGAAAAATGAACCAATTATTTATGCCACATCGAGTTGTAAATAAATTTATATAATTAAGGTTTGTGTGTATAGCTTTTTCCTGCTTCATGCGGACTTAGAAACCTCCTAATATTGAATCTGAGATTTTGTTTTCATAAAATCTAAAATTTATTCACATAATTAAAATCAATCAATTCGAATCAAATTAATACCTCCATTTTATGAATATGTTAAACTCTATTTCATGTGATTGTGATTTTTTTTTTTTTAGTTTTTATAAATTTTAAAATTATTGAAAACCAAAATTAAAAATCAAAATAAAATTTTGTTTAAAACAAGTTTCAACACTAATAACTAATAACATCAAAGAAAAAACACAAATAACTAAAACAATAAACTTGTTTAATAATATTAAAATTATTTTTGTTTCTACTTTGCTCTTTATTAATCATGATAATATTTGACAAATAAACATGAACTAAATGAGGTTTTTTTTTTTTAATTTACAAAATTTAAGAAAATTAAAAAAAAAAAAACTACAATCATACTAAACAAAATCTTAATATCTGTACGAATATCATGTGGCATTTGAGCCCACTTTCTTTATTTAGGATCCCCGTGATTCACTTGAAAATAATGGCTCTGTATCTATATCTAATAACGATGAAGTTTTTAAGGCAACATTCTAGTATTTGGTTAAGTCAATCTCGACGTATGTAATCTCTTCATGATTTTTTTGACCATTTGAATTATTGTACAAAAAACAAATCTACTCCAACTCCACAGCAATTTCCATCATCCTTGGTTGCTTTTTGCCACTCAAGCTTAAGCATCAATAAGCAAGTTTAGCAACCTTTATAATTTCTTTAGGGGGCAGAACTATCCTTAACTCAAGCATCAAGAATATTAAAGAGGTTATTCTCTTCCATGGAAAGAATGGAATGAGAGACCAAACTTTTTCACCTTCTACCTTTTCTAAAGAAATTGGTTTTTCTCTAGTTAAGAGCTCAATAAGGATAACTCCAAAGCTATAAGTATCACTATTTTCTGTTAATTGACTTGACTAGTAATATT